CAATTCATGTTAGAGCATGATTTTGTACGCTATATGTTAATTAAATTAGTTTCTTTGATTAATGTGTATGTCATCTAATTGCTATTACGAGTTATAGGATGAAATGAGAAGAAAAGAATGGGGTTTAGGTTTAGGGAAGTTTCGGCCTAAATGAATAAATTTAGGGTTTCAATTCTAACATGGTTCCTAACACCTAAATTTACCAATTCAAGCTTAGAACTATATAATTAAAGGAATTAGAATGGAAACTTTCATAAGAACCTAGAGATTAATCAATTTACTAAAATTTGAGAGCTAGGCCCAATAAGAAAATAATACATATAATTAATTAAATAATACCTAAAAAAGTTAATTTAATTGATTTAGATGTAATTGAAGTGAATTTGATGTGTAATGGATGTTCGAATTGGAAAGAAATGATTAGGCAACATTAAGCTATAATTTAGCTTAGTTAGGAAAAATGTGACACTTGACATACTTAGTGTATGATTATGTTTTTAATTGGTGTTTAATGTGTTCGAGTTATGAATGTTGAATGTGATGGAAATGTGGATGGTTGAAATGTTATATGGTGTGAATGGTATATGAATGTTGGTATGGATTGTAATAATTGGCATGTATTAGCACAATAGTATCTTAATACAATTATATTATTAATTTTTTTTAATGTCTTATTATGGCATGACCATATGATTGTTCATGACATCTGTTTTATGAGCTAGCATTAGCTATGCATTACTAATGAAATGCACATACATGCTTACATTTATGAAAGAAGTTTTAAGCCATGAACACGTGTTTTATATCATGATTTGTCGATAGAGATCGAAAATGTTTTAAATGATGTGGTTTTTCATGACTTTGAGGATTTTTATGAGGATGGAATTCATGGGCTTTCAATATGGTAATGGTAATGGTTCGGGGTCGGACAAGTGCGGACGTGCGCTTTTAGAGGCTCGGTAGGACGCGTTCGTGGATATGTCCGGTTCGCCGGACATATGTTATGGAAACCCTAAAGTACCTAAAATAAGACATATCCAAAGATAGAAAAAGGATTTTCGATCGTTTATGAAATGTTTTATGACATGGACAAAGGGGATTATTATGCATACAATAGTATTTTATACATGCATAGGTTAACTTACCGAGCTATAGCTCACTTAATTCCTTATGATGTAGATCAATAAGGTACAATGACCTACTTCTCTGCGAGCTGATTTTTGAGGGATGCACTCAACGTTTATACTTTGGATGGGACTTTGGGTTTCAAGTGGACTTATCGCATGCTATTTTGTTCATGGTATTAGCTATTGTCTTATATGTCTTAGGACTAGCCAAACTGTTTTATGTTATACTAAAAGCAATGAATAAGTAAATGTAGTACTTTAAAAGTGATGTAGTTAGTAAATAAGCTAATTTTGTATTAGTTGACATATAATTGGTTTTGTATGTAAATAGTAACTTGTATGTAACTAAAGTACTAATAGTAAAATAGTAGTGTACTTGGTAGTAGCGTAGTTGCTTTAAATTATCCATTGCATGTTAGTATCATTGGGACACTTAAGCAATTTAACTTGATGTGCATCAAATAAAAAGGATGATATATAAGAAAAAGAATTAGTATTATTAATCATACTAATAAATTATAACTAAATGAATTTACAGTAATTAATGAGGAAAGAATTTAAGATAATGGATAGCCATAAAATTACTAATCCAGTTTCAAGAATGTAAACAATTTAATTAAACATGAAAAAATTATAACATCTTTTACTTAAAGTATAGGACCTAGCTAGTTAATATTAGATTTATATGGCCTAGATTTCATTATAAACGTTAAGATTAAGTCACGGTGTCTTGTTAGCTTGCATTCAATGGACTTCAAATGTAGGTTAACGACAATAATATTTTTACCTTTTAGGTCATGTGTTGGGAATTTTACACTAATAGCTAATCAATAATTATTTAATACTTAAGAGATAAATTCACTAGCATTATCAAGGTGAATTATTTTAATGGCATAATCTGAAAATTGTGCTTGTAATCAAATTATTTGAGCTAGCAACCTAAAAAATGTTATGTTAGGTTTTGAGTAGATAATAAGCATACATATAACTATCTTTTAGATGCATTTAATAAAATCATAAAATATCAAAATTGTCCATATGATGGATGAATTGATCCCATATATCTTCTTGAATACGTTCTAAAAATATCGAAGATTCAATCTCAATTTTACTTGATGATGACTTAATAATCAATTTACCTTGAGAACATGTAGAATATGAAATTTATTGAATTGAAGAATCTTTTGTCTCTTTAATAGATGTCCATATGAATTATCAATAATTTTTTGCATCGTGAAAGACTCAAGATAGCTCAACTAGTCATGTTACATAATAAAAGTATTTGTATTAGTAAACTTCTAGTTTGCTATAGTATTTATTTTAACCATTCGAGTGTTTGTAATAAAGATTAGAAGAGAAAATGAACAATTACTCTAATAAATATTTTCTACCCAATATAATTATTGTGATATATAAGTATTAAATATTCTCAAAATTTGTTGTCTCGATATGATATCCATTTAAATAAATATTTTTGAAACTCGATAAATTTTTATGAGACTATAATAAAAAAATTCCCTTCGGGTAAAATACATTTGTCCTTTCGAGCTTTGAAAATTTGTCCCTTCAAGTAATAATATATTCACTCTTTTAGAGCCTTCAAAATTTATCTATTCGAGTAATAATATATTTATTCTTCTAAAGCTTTCTATTTGATTGATAGTATCGGATATAATATTAAAACTAAATAGATAAAATAAAGATAATATATATATATTCTTCATAAATATAAATAAATAAATTTATAGCAAAATAAATTTATATCTATCTCTATGCAATATAAAATATAAGAATATATAAAGCATCTTATTTATAAATAGAAAAACTAACACGTTATTAATTTTGATTATCATCATTTTGATATATAAAATTGGTCTCTATATTTTACTCTTTCTTTTCAATGTTGCTTGGTAAAGCTCAACGAGGTGTTTCAACGTACGGTAGATACTCGAGCGGTGTCCCTTTATGCAATACCAATAACATTCATTTTCGGAATGATGGTTTGGTCCACTTTTATTTTTATTTTTATTTTTTCATAGTTTATCCACTTTGGTGGTAAGATGTATTATTATCATCACTATATTTTCTCTACATTTGGTGGTATGGTATATTATTATGACTACCATAGTTTGTCCACTTCTTGTGATGAGGTTTACTATTATCAATATCATGATTATAAGATAATTAGTCAAACCATTATAATGGTCATGGTCATGATCACATTTATATTCAGAATTATCATAAGTTTTCATGTTCACTTTAGAAAATCGAGTAAAACCGGTTGGATGAAATTCATGATTTTTTTATCAATAACTCGTTATTTTATTCGAAACATAAAATCACTTCATAATATTTTTAAAATAATTTTCTTGATATTGCTACTATAGGAGCATATTTGAAGCATGAAAATAGAGAATATTTTCTTAAAATCAATAATTCTTGTTTGAAATATCAAGAGCCACAAAATCAAGTTTACAAGATTTGATATAATAAAAATTCTATAGTGCAATATATAATAATAATGTTAAAAAATGAGAACAAACATAATAATAAAATTAAAGCATTTCAAACAATATACATTAGATCATTAAATTTCATGTATTAAATCATTCAAATTTTTTAAACGTATACTCTACGTATCATTAGATTTAAAGTAAAGAATAAATTAGATGCATATCACTTGATGATCTAGATAATTTAGATCTTTTGGTAGAGCCCTTGTGTAGAAAAAAATCCAATAATTAAAACAAATGTTTGAGTCTTTTGTTAAATACATACCTCATAATCTATTATCTCAATTGGTTAGAGTTTCGTATTGATAATGTATTATAAAAAAAATTATAACAATAATAGAATTAAAGAGAAAGATGATAAGAAAATGAATTCACTTTGAAATAAAGTGAATATAAGTGATTAGAACTTCAAATAATTCTCTAAATCTCTGTAAAACACGTTTGCACAAACTAATGAACAATTAAACATATTTACGGGCTTCAAGACTAAGAAGAAAATTAAAAAAAAAGACTAAGAACCATTAAAAGATGCATAAATAATTGAATAAATTGCATCACTATTTAAATTTATCATATTAAATGATGAATTGAATCATATGAGTAATGAGAATATGAAATGGTCATTGACATTCATAATTTCATAATAATTTAAATATTATTGGTGTTTTTGGGCTTTGTTTTTAGAGTTCTCATAGGCAAAATAAAAGGCTAGTAACGTATTGTATAGGTTAGTAGTGATTTACGACTTATTTTATGATATTTAGGGTTTATGTAATTAATAAATAGTAAAATAATGGAGAAACGGGATTAACCTATTTTTCAAGTTTCAATAATTTCTTCAATGTTAATTTTTTTTCTTAATTAAAGGTGAGGTGGAATTTATATATTAGCATCGAAATATAATATAATATTAGTATTATATTAAGGATATAATAGTCAATTAAAAGTTTTTAAAGAATTCCTATTTTTATATATAGTTATAGAGGGGTTGATTTTGAAAGTTAAAAAAGAAGATGAAACAACAATAATAATATTGCTGAGGACAAACTAAAATCTATATTATAACCTTTCTTTCCTTTTTGACGAGCGGGCCATCTTTTTTCTTGAAAAAAAAAAAGAACAAACAAACTCATTGTCAAGCAATTTATAAGATCAACAAAAATTGCTTACCTTTAAGGAATTATGGAAATTTTATAATAATTAGAATCTTGCTCGATTAAGGAATTAATTAAAACGAGACTAAAATCATATATAAAAAAAGGAATTGATTAAAATGATGAACATTTTTTGCCGCGAGCTCTTCGTCTATGCTTCTACACAACACATCCAATTTTCTACCAACCTATCGTGCAAACACAAATTAGGCCTTGGTTTCCGTCGTCTTAGCTTTCCGACAATTTTGGCACGAAAACCGGACAAAGCAACCTTCGAGCTTCTTTGAAGAATCTATGTTTTGCATTAAACCAAAGCATACACTAACACTCGCTCGCTCATGGAAAGAGGTAGGGGTGAGCATAATTCGATTTTAACAAAAAAATCAAATTGAATCGAACGAAATATCTATTTGGGTTCGGTTTTGAACTTAAAATAAGAAAGAAAAACACCAAATTGAAAAACCGATATTATTTCGGTTCGGTTTGATTTTTTTTTTTTTTTGCCAGTTTAAATCGAAAATTAGAACTATAAAAGTGAAAAAAAAAACCCGATCGTCTAGTGTCCTCACTTATTTTCTTTCTCCGTGATCGCATTTGTAATAACCAGTACCCGTAAAAACTAAAATTAAATATTTAAAAAAATATGAGAGACATTTTGAAGATGTAAAATAATTCACAAAGACTTGAGAGAATATTCAGAGTAAATAAAATTGTCATTTTATACCCAATGAATATTTTATTGATTTTATGATGCATGAATAGTGATTTTTGGGTGAAATAATTATTTTGAGCATCTTGTGGGTGCAAGGAAAATGTTTTCCTTGTTTAGAATTTTTGTTAGAGGAGTGTTAAATTATTTTATGTAATTATGTGCTATGAATATTTTATTTGAATTTTGATGTGTTAGAATAGTATTTTTAGAGGTAAATAATTTAATTAGGCACCTTAAGTGTATCGAAATTTTTTTAAAAGCATAGAATAATCATATAGGATGTGAGAGAGTTCCTAGAAAATTCAAATTAATTTTATTAAGTATAGGAAATATTTATAATAGAAAATAGTGTAATTTTCATACTAAATAATTAATCTAGGGGCTCAAATGAGGTCCAAAAATTATGAAACTTTAAAATAAACTCCCTTAATAAATATTTGAATTTATTATATAAAGGAATTGGATTTGTGAAGAGTATAGAATAGAATTTTAAAAATAGGAGCTAGATTGTATAAAATTAGGGACTCGATTGCATAAAATTAAAAGTCCAATAATCCAAATTAAATTATGTAGGAATGTTAAAGGTAAAAAATTAGTCCCAAACACTAAAAAGGTAGGTTGAAAAGTAGTTTTTGTATAAAAGAGGGATTTACGAAAGAATGGGCCATGGAAAAGTCTAGAAATTTGGAGGATCAAAACTTGTTATTTTCCTCCCAAATTTGGTCAGCTATAGGAAATTAATGAGATTGACTCGCAACAAAAAATTATACCAAAAAATAAGCAAGATGAAAGGCTTAAATAAGAAGAACAAATAGCTAAAAATCTAGCCAAATAAAAAGAATTGATTGGAAATTGAATTAAGGGATGAGATTTACCCAAATTAAGGGTGAAGATGAGGTCAACAAGTCCACAAAATTTTATATTAAATAGGGGTGCTAGAAAAATTAAAAAGAGAAGGAAAAATTAAAAAACATAAAAGAAACTCTTGCAAAATTTTCACTCAAAAATTACCCAAAATAATCCTAACCAATTTTAGACCCCCTAAATAAGTGGATTAAGCTTTAATTTTGAGTTGGGAGCTAAATACCTTCAAGAAGAAAATTAAAAAGAGCTAATTCAAATTTAGAAAGAAAAAGGAGAGGAAAAGAATTTTCAAGCAAGCTACCTTTTTAAGGTTAATTTGGAGCTTAATCATGTAAGTTAACCTCACCTACATCGCAAGCAAACTTAATTTTAAGTCAATTTCATGTTTAATTGTTTGATTTTGATTTAACTGCTTAATTAAGAAAAAAATTAAGGTTAGGGTTCTTGATGAACCAAATTTGAGGGAAATGATTTTAAGCTTATAATGCACGTAATTGAGATAGAAATAGTTTTATTTACCTTGAAATTTAAGTTTAAAACTAAAAAATGTCTAGAATTATTCAAGGTATTCTATTCGGCCTAAACCTTCAATTTGAGGGTTTTTAATTCTTTCATTTAATTGGTGTTTTGGCACTTGATTATGATTTATTTGAGCGAGAGTTAGTGTTTAGGAATGAAAGTTTTCACTTTAATTGAAGAAAAATTCACTAATTTTAGGAATTATATTCGACCTAAACTAAGCAAATTAGGGTTTGAGTTCAAAGCAATTTGATTCTGATTTAATGGGTCATTCACACTTGAATAAGCATGTTTTGATGAGTAGAAATGAAAAATATGCTAAACATTGAAGAAAATAGGTTATTTTGGCCCATTAGAGCCTAATACGGGTTTGGGGAGGAATTAGGGTTTTAAATGTTAATTAAATTGATTTTTATAGTGAGTACATATTTAGGCTACTTAGAATTAAAATGGTAGGGTAAAATAAGAAGAAAATCTTTAGGAATTTAAATGGTGAAATATTTGGCCTAAATGAGGAATTTTAGGAATTCGAGTTTAAATTAAGTTCCAAACCTAAATTAGTTCATTCAAGCTTAAAATAATGTAAAAGGATAGTTAGAATAAAGGTGTTCATGAAAATCTAAAGAAAAATTGATTTAGGAAAAATTGGACCGTAGGCCCATTAAGGCCCAAATCAAAATTAGACTACATAATCAATTAAATAATACCTAATTAAGTTAGAACATGGATTAATACCTAATTTGATAAAGGTTAGATGCGAAAGGGTAGTTAGGAACCTAAGGGAAATAACTTAGAAATGTTAAAATGTAGAGTAAATTAATGAAACTAAAATGAAATGTAATTGTTTACTTAGTCTTATGTTATGATTGCATTTTCTTTCCAATAATGTATGTGATGCAATAAATAATGAATAATGGTTATGCTTGAGTTGTGATTGGTGATGAGAATTGTGGTTATGGTAAGCGATGCGCCAATGATGGTTGCACTTGGTTGATATGGATTGATGTTATTTATGTCGTTATGCTACCCAAGTTTATGCGTGTTTTCATGACATGGTTACATGAACATTTAGGACATGCACTTAGGTATCACTACTTAGCATGCATTGTCATTCAAAATGCATGTGCATGCCAAAGCCAATGAATAATATTTTAAGTCATAGAAACGTATTTTATGCTATGAGTTTTCGATAGCGATCGAAATTATTTTAAAGAAAAGGATTTTCATGACTTTGAGGATTTTTATGAGGATGAGCTTCATTGGTTTTCCATATGGTAATGATAATGGTTTAGGGTCGAGCAAGTGCGGACGTGCACTTTTAGAGGCTCGGTAGGGCGCGTCCGTGTATGGTCCGGTTCACCGGATATATGTTCTAAAAACCACTAAAGTACCTAAATGAGACATGTTCAAAGACAGAAAAAAGATTTTTAAACTATTTATGAAATGTTTTATGACATGAGAAAAATGATTTATTATGAATATATCGGTATTTTATACATGTATATGCATGCATGTACACTACATGCATACATTAACTTATTAAGTCGTATCTCATATAGTTTCTTGTGGTGTACATAAATAAGATACTATGGCTTACTTCTCTATGGAGCAGATTTTTAGGGAATGCACCAAATGATTATACCTTGGATCGAGTTTCGGGTTCCAAGTAGACATACTACATATGATTTTATTTACGATACTAGATATTGTCTTGCATGTCCTACAACTAGCTGGATTGTGTTATGTTATATTAGAAGTAATGAATAAAGTAAGTGTAGTGCTTTAAAATAATGTAGTTAGTAAATAAGGTAATTTTATAATAGTTGGCATATAAGTAGTTTTGTATGTAAATTAGTAACCTTTATGTAACCGAAGTACGATAGTAAAACGATAGTGTATCGATAGTAGTTTAGTTACTTTAAATCGTTCACTCGTATGCTAGCATCTTTGAATATTTAAGAAAATTTCTTAATGAGCCATTAAAAAAAAAGAATAGTAAATAGGAAAGGAAATAAGTAATATAATAATAGTTGATAATAAGGAATCATATCTCAATGGATTGCAATTATTAATAAAGAAGGGATTTGAACTAGCAAATAACCATGAATCCGAGTAATCCAGTTTCAAGTATGTGGATAAATAGATCAAACATCAAAATTTTATAACGTCTTTTAAGTTAAAGTATAAGACCTACCTGGTCAATATTAGATTTCTAAGGCATAGATCTCACTTTAGACATTAAGATTAAGTCACGAGTGTCTTGTTAGCTTACATTTATTGCACTTTGAATGTATGTTAACGACGGTAACATTCTCGGCCTTTTAGGTCCTAGGTTAGGGGTGTTACAACATTTTCCAAATCCCTAATTCATATTTGATATTTCCCAAATGGCCAAATCCCTAATTCATAAATTAGCTCTTGCTTAAGAATCACCTGCTCCTTCCGGGCTCCAAATCCTTTGTTCATCATCATCCTCCTTCCCATCTTCATCTCTATCTACTCGATGCATCGCTTAGTATCTCCAGTTGAGACCTTTGCTTTCATCCTCAATCGGTTAATCCGCACTAGATTCACCAAATAGCTCGTAACTCCATAAACCCCACCTCTCCCACCAACCTCTACCCATCCTTCTTGTCCTGCTACTCTTCATCTCTACCTTAGTGCCTCCTACTTTCGTCCTCATCAATCATCATTCAAAAATCACTAGACTCACCATCCACTATTCTTATCCTACTTTGTTGTTGATCGTTCTCAAGTAAAACTCACTTGTCTTGCCACACCCACGCCTTTCATTCTCTTGCTTGATCTCTTCCTAAGATAAAGTCGGCTTTTTTCACTCATTAGGCATTTGCTAGGGAATCAATTTTTTTTTGTTTTTTTTCTTTTTCTATTGAACTTATTTGTGTTTACAAGTAATTTTACTATATAGAAAAAGTTTATTGTACTAAGAGAAGAAACATATGGCTGAAAAAGATTAGAATCCTTTTGAAATTGCATAGAAGCTATTGCTAGAAATCGTCACTTGAGAATTGAGATTTGAGAAGGCATGACTCATTCCAAGAAATAAGGCGATCCTAAACCTATCATCCGTACTTATTTGATTGTTGAAGTCGTTATCTATTATTTTGTTATTTAAATCGTAAGCACATGAAGTAATGCTCCTAGAAGCATGTGAGTTGGGATTCTTAAGAATTGTTGATCTATAACTCTATCATTCATTCTTTCGGTTAGCATTTATAGATTTTCACCTTTCTTTTATGGAAATAGTACGGAGTTTACGACCTATCATCGGCCTACTACTAGTGCCTTTGGAGCTCGGAAGGATGTTTTATGCTTGTAAATTGTAATACAACTAAATATGTTTGGTAGCTTGTTTAGGCTTAGCCATCCTTATACTTGCTTGAATTATTATGTTAGTGAAAAAAAAAATTGGCATCTCATCATATAGCTTATCGAACTTATGTGTTGTTAGTTTTGTGAATGATGCATTTATAATTGCTATTCTAAACTTTGTATTGGTTGCATCATTTTTGTGAATGTTGGGCATTGATTGGTAAGGAAATTAACATGATTCTCCAACAAAAGTATTATTCAAAAAATTATTTTACAACTATTAAACTTGTTTCTTAGCCTCATTTTGCAAACAAGACCTCTAATTTTGGCTAAATTGAACTTTTATGTGAGGAAAGAAATCATTTCATCTACTATTCATATATACATAAAGAGGGAAGGACGGAAGGCTGATACAAAAAATAAATTCATCTTAACGGTGGAAATAAATGTGAATTAAACTTGTATTTATTGTGAATAAATAATAGTACCGGTCCTACACTCCTATTGGAAAATTTCAAAAGCTGGTGAAGGGAAACTGTTGAAAAGCTAGGATTACCAATCAATAAAATGGCTTTTGTTTAGCCTTTTATTTGATTAAAAAACTAGGATTACTAATCAATCATCCATTAAATTTACCGTATATTGATACATGTCTAACGTCATATAATATTATTAAATAGCAAGCATGGCTAAGAGATGAATATTTAATAATATTACTATATTGCATATTCAACTTAGTAATTTTTGAGTATAACATTTGTTTTTCTTCTTCTTTTTTATATAGATGTCGCAATACGAAGAGATGAATGTTGAAAATGTGGGTTCAAGCAATTCATAACCAAGTGTAGCTCCAACTCCAAGTAACACGCAAGATGGCATAGAGATGAAGAGGAAACCTATTAAGCCAATATCAATTATGTGGGGCCATTTCACAAAGTTTAAAGATGAGAATAAGGATACCAAGGGTAAATGCAACTATTGTGATAAGGTACTTGCTTGTCATCCTACGAAATGGCACTACCACATTTAAATTTCATATGACTATATGAAAAAAAAACCCCTATAGTATTGGCACCACATAAACTCAATTAAATCTTGTAAGGCTTGTAAGAGGAGAAAGCACTCTTAACACATAGAAGTTTGATCAAATTGCTATTAGAAAGCCTTTAGCTCACATGATCATTGTAAATAAACTTCCATTTAAGAATATAGAGGGTAAGGCGTTAGAAGGTTTATGTCATTACGTAACCTAGATTCAAAATTCCATCACGGTTTACGGTTTCAAGAGATTGCTACCAACTTTATTTAGATGAGAAATCAAAATTGAAGAAATTCTTGAACAAAATTATGAAAGCATTTGTCTCATTACGGACACATTGACATCCACTTAAAAAAATTAATTACATGTGTTTAATGACTCATTTCATTGATAATGATTGGAAGTTGCATAAAAAGATCTTGAATTTTTGTCCGAGTTGATAGTCATAAGGGAGTAGATTTAGGCATTGCCATTGAGAAATGGTTGATTGGTTGGGAAATTGAAAAAGTTTTTAAGATTATGGTTGACAATACAAGTTCAAATGACGTAGTAATTAAATACTTAAAAGATGTTATTAAGAATTGGGGTCATAGCATTTTAGATAGGAAATTCCTTCATATGAGGTGCATGACACATACTTTGAATCTTGTTGTTGCTGATGGGTTGAAACATTTTAATCTTTTAATCATTCGTGTTCGATTGGCTTTTAGGTATGTGAAACAATCTCCAGCTAGGTTGAAAAGATTTATGGAATACATTGAACTTGAAAAGATTGATTCTAAGAGTTTGTTACAACGAAATGTCACAACTAGTTGGAATTCAACCTATTTGATGTTAGATTCGGCTAAAAAATTTGAGAGATATGAGCCAATTTTAGGTTACATATTTTTCTCAAATTTTATTCCTATTAGGTTTTATTTTGTAGTTTATTCTTTATTATCTTTCTCTATTTATTTTATCTTATTTTTATTTTATTTGTATTTTTTAATTAGTTATTTTTATTTTTATTTAGTTTCAGTATTTATTACAAAAAAAAAAAAAGAATAAAAGATAAAAAAATATATAAAAATTAAAAAAATTTCATGGCATAATTAATTAGGGGCTTGATTTAATAAAATCAAGACTGATATTGAAATAATTGAGGATACAATTGAAACAATTGAAAACCTAGGATTGAAATTAAAAGATACAAGGCTCCAATTGAAAAAATTAAAAGAACCAAGGATCAAAATTACATGCTTAAATGGTATAAATTTGAACAATTGAAACATGCGAAGATAAATTGGAGTTGATGAGGAAATGACGGGACCAAAAGCAAGCGAATGACATGTTGCTCGTTTCAACCCGGAACCAATTTCCAATACCATTTATTGTCCTTCTTAAAGATGAATCTGTCATTATACGGCTTTGTGGCTCCTGGCTAGAAATTGTACTAGCTAAGGATCGTGCTTCAACAACTTGGATCCACCTCTCGCACAATAATTGCACAACACCTACACACACACATTTTTCATTCAATTTTTGTCCTAATTAAGTCTGTGTTTTAAAATGCAAAGTGGATGAGCGTCTTAATTTGTTTGTAAAGAGGAGGCTTTTGATTGATTGGGGTTGATCGAAGGGTGAAAGATGATTTAGGTTTGACTATAAATTGAGCCGCCATTACACGGATTAAGGTAGAGAGAAAAGAGAGAGAGAGAAATTTGGAAAGAAATTGCATTTTCTAGGTCTCGAACATCTTTTTTTCTAGGTTTCAAATATTTTTTTATGAAGAAGAATTTTGGGATTTAGAATGGGCTTCCTAGGTTTCACATAAAGTGTTCCGGGGACACACAAAGAGATTGAAAAGAGAAAAAGAGAGGATTCTAGTTTAAAGGTTTTACGGGTTCTTGGAATGTCTTTTCTTTTTTTTTTTTAAAAAAAAGATTAGCTTGGGTTTTGGAGGAGAACAAGTATTCGGTTTTGAGTCCAAAGAAGCAATTCTTAGGCTTAAAAATATTCCCGGGTTCAAGAAGAATGATTCTAAGTTGAAAAGAAAAAAAAACACATAGTCTTGGTCCATAATACATCATTGGGTTTAAGAAAGCTTTGGCTCATTCAAGAAGCTCATAGGATTCTTCAAACAACAACCAATCCAATCCCATACATTCAACCAACAAGGTTTCAATGGAGTTCCTTATAACATCTCGAAACACTTCAAATCACCAAAACATCCCTAAGCTCTTGTTCGCCTAGATATTATAGGTATGATTTCCTTTTTCTTATTTTCTTTTTCTTTAGTTATTTTATTCAAATCGGTGATACTACCATGAATCATATAATGTAAACACACATTTCGAGCAATTCTTTACTACAAAATCCTTAGAGTTCGTCAAATTGCCTTCGGCCTTAGTTGTCTATTAGTGTAGCAAAAGAGGAGGGAGAAAAAGGTGGGAAAAGAAAGGAAGAAAGCTTTGGTTAGGGAAAAAAGAGGAAAGGAAAAGAAAGAAAAGAGAGCTAGGCTCGGCCTAGCTTAAGAGAAAAAAAGAGAGAAAGAAGGAAGGCTGGGCTAGGTCTAGCCCGACTTGGGAAAAAAAGAAGAAGAAAGGAATAGAGAGAGGGTTGCGTACGTGTGAGGCCAAGTATTGAAGGAGAAAGGCTAGCATTTCCGGTAGGCCAACCTAATGGGCCAAAGGCCCATTACACTCAAAAAGTTCAATTTCCTCAATTTAGCCATTTTTTCGATAAATTAATTTTGAAATTTTTAATACATGTCTTTTATCTTATGCCTAGTTTAGATTTTATATTTTGAATTATTAAGTTTTTTACATTTATTTATTTACTTAGTCAATGTTTAGTTTTTTAGTTTTATTTCGATAATTCGATTAGACAATCAATGGGTGGATGAATCATCGAGGCTATTAACATTTAGGGATCGATGTCAATTTCTTTCCAATAAAAAATATAAAGATAAAATATTAGATAGATAAAAAAAATAAAAATGATTAGATAAAATAGAAAATTAACAAATCATAAAAAAAAAGAGAAGAAGAGAGAGAGAGAAGAGAGAGAGAGAGAAGAGAAGACATAAAGAGAGAGAAATTGTGAAGAAAAAAACAAAAAAAGAAAAAAAAAGAAAAAAATATATATATACATACTAG